GCTGACTGACATGAATGTTAACTAGCATGCTAGCATGCAAAAAAAAATTGATATCTGCATTCGTCACAAGTGGGAAAAATTTAAATCTGCATGGCACTTTACTCCAATTGGCTTATTCGCTTGCTTAAACTCAACGATTCTGATTCCACAGAACTAGGTTGGGTGTGAAAAAGTATTTGTTGTTAACATCCTTTTTTCATTTGGTTTTTTCAGTTATGAGTCCTTTTTTAAAGCTGATCGCTTTGTGTTCATTTTGTTTAGTTCTTTTTCGTAACAGATTTAATGTTTAGTATAGAGCTTAGAAAAAATTTGCAGTGTGAGATAGGCAAGAAGTAAGGCATGTAGCAACATCAGCATGGCAAAGGGCACTCCTCTAAAGGCAAGGAAAGGCGAAAATATTTTAAGTCAAGTGATAGCGATTGCTGTATGAGTCGTACGATTTTTGAATCAAGCACGGGCAACGTCATGCCATGCTGCTAGTGTGTCATATAATGGATAATGACTCAGAATTATTAATCAGACAGCTGAGTTCCAATTCCAGTCTGGTTCATTATATTCATTTTTTTGTGTAAATAACCCTTGGAACGGTATGAATCCACCTCTTCTCTCCCCAGCTATGGGTTAATTAGTGAGTCTTGTATCACTAAACCATTATTATCTATGAAGAAAAGAATCTTACAGTCTAAAAATATTTTCTGGCTTTAAACAAAATGCAATGGGTTGATAAGCTGTAAAAAACTAATCGGTGAATCAAAACCATGGACAAAACATATAAGCAATGACGAAGTTTTAAAGAAAATGGAGACAAAAATGGCGTTTATACTTAACAACAGAAAGAGATAGTGGAAAATTCTATTACACATAATGAGGAAAGTATGCTTGAAAAATTTAATACTCACAGGGCAGATTGAGAGTGAGATAGACAGAGGGAAACAATACATAAACTAACTAGCAAGTTTGAGTAAATAGATGGCAGATCTAAGTTTAGGAGAGATAAAAAGGCAAAATTTATTAAATGCTACATCAAACAGGAAATTGCAGAGAGTCATAATTGCCTGCTTCCTATGTTTTATCTTTTTTGAATAATTCATAGAACAATATCAACTTTTAATGCTTTCACTTTCTATATTTGAAAAATGCAGGACCAAACATATATATTTCTTGGAAGGTCTGCGAGAAACTTCATAACAGAACAGAGAATATTGAAATACTAACGGCGCCAACACACAACTGTATCCTGAACAATTTGTCTATATCAAACATGGCAGATTAACAGTATGATATATTGGCGATGGAGGGGGAAGAAATCTAACAATGACTGATTGTATATGCTCGCTCCACCCCTTCACGCAAGCATGTACACTTGCAGACATAAAACCTTGTTGCAAATTGAATTCTTCTGCAGAACATGAGGAAATGGACTCAAGTCTTTTACAACTCCCTCATCTAGTGGTACATTTCTTAATTTTTTTATTTTTTGTTGGGAGTTGATGAATCTCTTGTCTAACCTCTAAATATGACCTCTTACAAAGATATCACCTACATACATACATCCATATATATATATATATATATATATATATATATATATATATATATATATATATATATTGTGGGTTTGTAATGAGAATATGTCAGTATTCTCTGAATGTACTTCTTTTTACATATATATATATATATATATATATATATATATATATATATATGTGTGTGTGTGTGTGTGTGTGTGTGCGTGTGTGTGTGTAATTTTTGTTTAGGGTCTAAAAAGACATCATCAGCCCCACTATGGAAATATATAAATTACAAACGAATCATATACAACATACAATGCAATAAGCATAAACAAAAAAACGATAAAAGGCTTTTACACATATTTCAGAAAGAAAATTGTATATTTTGAAGACCATATACATATACAGAGATAGAAAGTTTGTGCTAATCTGGTAGTCGACACACACTCTGCTACAGGACTATGCTCGGACATCTGCTTTGTTTGGCCATTGAATGTAATGGGAGAGAAAATTTGATTTCTGTTTCAACAGAATGCAAAATGACTGTTACATTGCATGATGGGAGTTTTCATATTTATTTAATTATTTTTATAATCTCACTTTTTCTTTCTTTATTGCTAATTATCATTCTTATCTATATTTTAAAGAAATTTGATTACTTAACTTTTAATTTTTCTTTTATTATTAATAATTAATTATTTTGATTTCCCACTCCTACATAGCCCAGTAGTAAGGGTTAGAAGTTATTTAATGATTTATTTGTTGCTATCACTAAATATACATATAAGGTAATTTCTAAAAGAATAATAGATTTATTTTTAATATGACATTTTTATTACTTTAAATATTATTGTTAGTGGATACTCATCTTTGAAATAGAAGCCCTGTTTTTTTAAACAATGTGTACTTCATCTACTGGCCTGTTATGATGTTGATTTGGGGTTAGTAGAGACAAACGCCAAATAACACGTAACAATAAAAAGGGTTTTAATAGGTTGGTAAAAAGGTACAGAAATCGCCTGAGTAGTCAATAACTAGCTCAGCTAAGAACTACTCTGAGAATTTATTGATCCCCCCACGAGGATTGAATGTGGCACAAGGCTGAGTTTAATGTGGGTTGAATCCGAGCCCGTAGGCTCGGCCAAAAATATAGCCCTTGAACCCGCCTAGACGGGTTCAGGCCCTGTCTACCTCCCCGGACGAAACCTTGCCCTTCGGCAAAGCTTCGTTCAGGTTCCTCTCTGCTAACTCAGAGAGTTCGACAGACGTCGGAAGTCAGCTAAGAACTTCTCTGTCCCTCTGGCTTTCAACATGCCACTATTTAAAGTCTTTGTTTGCAGACAAGTTCATCTTCAAGAGGGGTGGTAGGTTTCCGACACAACATGGCCTGTTTTCTTAAGAAAACTTAATAAAAAATATGTGATTTCACACAAGATTTGAACTTGTCTTCTCCTTTGCAGGAGAAATCAGCATCTGATCCAGCATGCTTTACAGTGAGATTCTTAATGTCGGCCTGAGAAATATTTTAAGTGTAGTCATTAATCAGGACTTATATTTTCTACTCCATTTTCCTTTTGTAAATAAAATATATTTCCTGTTACATGGATTTTTTATTTCGGCTTATGTAGGCCTGAAATTTGTTTGACACCAAAAATGGGCCACAGGGAAGAAAAGGTTGAAAAACCTTGCATTTGGCCACTCAGCCATGGAGAGTGTCACAGCCCAGCAATATTCCATTTACTCTTTTAAGGAATGTAGATCCCTTCATTCAAATTTTCTTGAAAGTCCATATCTGCTCAATTTTATATCCAAAACATTAAAAAAAAAACAGGGTGTTTATTCAAACACAATTATTCAGTAAAAATAACATTTGAATAAAAATGTTGCATTAAAAATAAATCCATTAATTCAATCAAATTTTATTTTTGTTAATTTGAATTTATAATGTATACAATGTAGCTTAGTCACTGTTTCTTTAATTTCTCATGCGTAATCAAGGATTGCAAAATGAATTCCAAAATATACCTGTTTTAACAATAAATTATCCATTGGAATTACAAGTTTTTATTCTTTTTAATTCAACTTCACCAATGGAATCAAGCATTTTTACAATTTTACAAATTCATTAATTCTTTAGAAATTACTTTGTTTTGTTATGTTTGTTGGTTCTAATCCCATAGTGGAATGATTGCAAAATACTTTCCCCTCCCCAATTTATAAGCAGAAGCACACAAATGCATGCTGGGGTTTCTTCCTAGTCAATAAAATAGGCTGGTTCTCGGTGTCATCTGATTCTATCCCAGTCTGTCTTGTCTTGAAGTTAGAACATTATGTTTACTATTTACATTATTTTGACTATTGTCCTCATCTTTGTTGCCATATTTCATTTTGGCCTTTATCCACTGTGCCATGTGTCCTTAAGAACACATGGCAAAGTGGATAAAGATGTTGGTTAAATCCAGTGATAGGACCCCAAAAATTGTGAGTCCAACTGGTTAAGGCAGTGTAGAACTTGGAGAGGAGAATTAACAGGAGATAACTGATAACTGACATTCCATTAGACATGGCACGTAGAACTAGAACAGACTATCCCAGTGAGCAAAATAAAGGGTTCAGTTAGACATTCCAACCACCTGAAGAAGGCCTGAGTGTACAACGGCTGAAACTTTGTGATAAATATGGCAACAAAGATAAGGACAATAGACTGAATAATGTAAATAGTGTACATAATAACTCATTTCAGAAATATACACATAAACATTATGTTTGTTTATCCAAATTTGCTCTTGTGTGTCAACCTCAATTCTTAGTTTGTGAACTTTTTGCCAAATTACTGTTGCTTTGCTTTTTACCATTAATTTGCATCCCATAAATTGTTTCCTTGCTTTATATTATTTTTTGTCCTGTTCTTTTCTTCTTTTTTTTGTTATTGTTTATTGCAAACTTTGTCAATTCTGTTTTTTGGCAAGTTCTGCCATTTATTTACATTTAACCACGGCTGCTCACTCTACAATTTTTCACTTAAAACTGCTTTGCAGAGAAAGATTTTTTCTGTTATCACCCTTTCTAGTAGTGATGAGGATTTCCTTCCTAATATTTCATTTAAACTAGTGTGGAAAGTTAGCATCTTGATTTTCACTTCGAGTTATATGTCCTTTCTGTTTTTGTTATGCTTACTGCTGGAAGTCTTGAAGGGCTGTGGATTTTGTTATTTGGTAAATTTCTTTGTTATTTTGTAGTGCCATTCTATGAGATCTAATGTAGGGCTGCCTTCCTTAAAGCCCACAGAGTTCATCCACCTGAAGACATTTTTAATCACTAACCTGAGAAAGTGGTTATATCTAGCTGATATTTTAGTCATTTCTGAACAAGGTGGGTGTCAGGCATGTTGTCCATGAGAGTTGAGAACTGACAAGGATTTTTAAGAACATGACTCTAGTTCTTGGATTAATGTTTCGGTTTTGTAGCAACCTGTGGAACTGGGTGAAACTATCTCATAGTGCAGCCTAAAGAAAGAGGCAAGAGGATAAGAAGTGGTAGGCAGGATACAAGAAATCCAAGTTGTAGGAGGAGGAGAAGTGGTATGAGGGATACAAGAAAATCAAGTTGTAGGCAGAGGAAAAGTGGTAGGGGGAGATACAAGAAAACTAAGTGGTAGGAGAAGGAGGAGAATTGGTAAAAGGGGTACAAGAAAAACAAATAATAGGAGAACGAGAAGTAGTAGGAGGGATACAAGAAAACCAAGTGGGAGGGGAGGAGGAGAAATGGTAGGAGGGATATGAGAGAACCAAGTGATAGGAAGAGGAGGAGAAGTGTTAGGAAGGATATTAGAAATCCAACTGGTAAGAGGAGGAGAAAAAGTGGTAAATGATAAAGAAATATGTGTAGAAAAAGGAAGTCTTAGGACAAGAAGAGAAAAAGTGGTGACAGGAAGAGAAATGAAAAAGAAGTGGTAGGAGGAAAAGTGATAAATAGAAAATAAAAGGTAGGAGTCGAAATGGTAGGAGAAAAATGTTATGAGTGAGAGGTGAAAAAAGAGGAGAAAATGAAGTGATTTAAAAACAAGTGGTGGGAAGAGGAGAGGAATAGTGGTTAGAAGAGAGAAAGAACAGAAGTGGTAAGAGGAAACAAGAAATGGAAGTGGGGGAAGAGGAAAAGTAGTGGGTTAGTGAGAAAGAATTGGTAAGAGGAAAATAGAAAAGGAAATGGAAGTATGAGGAGAGAAAAGCTGTTGGTTGGTTAAGAAAGAAGTGGTAGGAGGAAAAAAGAAAAAAAAATAGAAGTGGGAGGAGAAAAAGGTAGCAAGTGGGGGGAAAGAAGTAGTAAGAGACATGAAATGAAGGAGCTTGAGTCAGATGCAAATAATAAAAGTACAAAGGTGCATTTCCAATGAGACAGTGAAAAAGTACATTTAAAAAAAGTACAATAAAAAGTTGCCAGAAAAATTTTTGCTGTCAAATAATTTTAAACATAAGAGATAAGATGTAGTTTTGAGAGAAATATTTGTTGCTAGTCAAAGATCTCTTAGATTAATATCTCCATCTCTTTTCTGCTGCCTTCTGTCATGTTTTTGATTTTGGGACATTTTCTGAACTTTTAAATTAAATTACACTTCATTTAAATTACAGAAATTCAGAACAAAGAAGGTGGCTTTGAACAAGATTCGGGCTCAATTTAAATTAAACTCAGGTAATTGAAATTAAATTTTATTTCATATAAAACTCAGAGAATTTGAAGAATGACCAAATTAGTAGTTAACAAGAATGGTATGGAGATAAAGTAGGAGAAAAAGGTAGTGACGAATTGGATTACAGACATGAGAATTCCCCCTACCACAACACTAGGTGGTTTTGTGGTTGTGTTCATAGAGGAAGTGCTATATGACATAACAGATTCCCATAGTTTGAATCTAATTTTAACTAAAGACAATTTCCTTATTCTGAATCAACATGGATTAGAATTTGATGGATTACGAAATAATTTCTCCATAAAATATGATTCTAGGCATATATAAATGACTGCCTAATTAGCTTAGCTGAGGCATAGATATCATATGTGCCCTAGCACTAAAGGCAGGAGCAGAATATGATTCATAAGAATAACGTCTACCTCTGAACAATTCATAACAATTATGATAACAATGGAAGTGATAAGGATCATAGTATAAAAAGTCTCGGTGTGAAAATGCTTCATCTTATAAAACTTAGATAATTTAAAGAATTACCTTTAAGAAGAATTTGTATAGTGTAAAGATTAAAAGTGATTTGGATTACAGGCTTGAAAATTCAGTCTACTTTGGAAGCTTATAAGACCAATAAGATATGACATATGAGCGTTGGCTGAAAAGTTTATAGGCTGACCAAGATACTCTCATGAAATGTGACCAAATGAGGTTTATGTTTCAACATATCCTCCTTTACAGCCTCCATATTTCTTCCATCGATGATGCAGTGCTTGGATTAGTAAAGAAACTTTTGTCCTGTTGGTCAAAAATATCATTAACAGCAGATTTGACATCATCATCATTGAGATAGCAATTCTCAGCCAAGGGATTTTTCATATTGGTGAACAGATGATAGTCAGGAGGCCAAATCAAGAGAATATAGGGAATGTGATCAACCAGTTCAAAGCCACATTTCATGCATAGCAACCAAACAGGTATGTGCGGGATCATTGACCTGAAAAAATGTTTCTTAGCTGAGGTGCCAGATAGGTTAGCAGAGATCCTGAAAGAGATAATGGTGCGATATATTCAGCCTGGTAGCCAAATTGTTTCAGATGGCTAGGAAATCAACCACAGAATATACTATCATGACACCATTGTTCATCATCAACATTTTGTGGATCCTCTGGTACGAAAACAGTTTCATATTTTCAGCATTATTTGCTTCATAGTCCACCATTACCCATTATAATAATGTTTAATCGTAAGAAATGTATTTTTTTTATATTCTATCACTTTCAAGACAGACCTACTCTGAAAATTATAGACCATTCCTATTTTTGTAAGGTGGCAAACTCAGAAAATCAGCAGGGGGTGAAATACTTATTTTCCCCACTGTATACCTTCTGATTCTTGCAATTGACGTTTAGTCACTACCTTCTGTCGGAGTTCTTGTAGTTTCCTTCATGTGTCTGCTATTATCACTCTGTTATCTGCATATATTATGTTGTTAAGATTGTTGTCGCCAATAACCTTTAAGAAGAGAGTCATGTATTTTTTTTTTATAGATGAATATTAATATATGCAACAGACGTATATTGATATAATAATTTATTAACTTTCTATATATGTGCTCGTATTTGTTTTCCTTTTGTTTTTTGGTGTTTTCTGTGGAACATTTCCTCTTTGCAAGAAATGGTTTTGCATCTTTTATGCTTTATGTCATCCTGTTATGTTCAAATGTTTACCAGATTAGTGTAATTCAACACAAAAAGTCCGTCTTTCACTGCAATTAAGATATTAGCTTTAATTAAAATTAGTTATAATTAGTTTTATAATTTATGTAAGGCAAATGATAATACTGCTAATTAACAATTACTAATTACACTGATAATGGCTCATTTTAATTACTCCTTGGCTAATGGAGTTAGCATCATTGCTATATATGTTTTTTGTTTTATTTTATTGAAGTAATTTCTAGTAGTATAAAGATAGATATGAATAGAAGTAGATAGGTTGGCAGATGGATAGATATGTACGTGGGTGCAATTACTAAGATGGAAATACAAAAACTAAGATAGGAATACATTGGAGAGAAAAAGATACACAGACTGAAATAAGCATAGATAAATAGATTGATAAGAATATAGATAGATAGATAGATAGATAGATAGATAGATAGATAGATAGATAGATAGATATGAACAGACTGAGAGAGAGAGAGAGGAACAGGCTGAGAGAGAAATGAACTTATATAGATAGATAAATAGATTGATATGGATAGAGATAGATGAATATATAGATAGATGTGAACAACCCAGGCACAGACAAAGAGATAGATAGATAGATAGATAGATAGATAGATAGATAGATAGATAGATATGAATAAACAGAGAAAGAGAGAGAGAGATGACCATATTTAGATAGATAAATAGATTGATATGGATAGAGATAGATGGATATATAGATCGATGTGAATAACCCAGGCACAGATAGATAGATAGATAGATAGATAGATAGATAGATAGATAGATATGAATAGACTGAGAGAGAGATGAACATATATAGATAAATAAATAGATTGATATGAATAGAGATATATATGTAGATAGACATGAACAACCAAGACACAGGCAAAGAGATATATAGATAGAGATGGACAAAGGTAGATAAATGGATAGATAGCTGTCTCTCAATCGCAGTCTGTTCATATCTTCTTTTCATTCTTTATATCTGCCTATTTTTCTAGTTATCTGGCTATATATCTCACTGTAATCGTAACTCTTTTGCCTTCCTTCTTTTATCCTTTTTCTTTCTTTGTATCTGATAGATATGAATAGAGACATTTAGAAATAAATAAACTGAGTGAGAGAGAGAGAGAGAGAGAGAGAGAGAGGGAGAGAGAGATGCACAGAGGTAGCAATGAACAAACTGAGATAGATTTGAACAGGCTGAGATAGAGAAAGAGGATGATAAGAGAGAGAAATGATCAGAGAAGGATAGGAATAGAGGTAGATATATATGAGTAGAGAGAGAGAGAGAGAGAGAGAAAAGAGCATAGACTGAGAGAGAAATGAACATAGATAGATAGATAAATAGACTGATATGAATAGAGATAAATATCAACAGAGTAAAATAGAGAGAGATGGAGAGACTAAGACAGAAATGAAGAGAGATAGATATGAATAGATATAGTTAGATATGAATAAAATGTGTGTGAGAGAGAGAGAGAGAGAGATGCACAGACTGAGATAGAAATGAAAACTGATATATATATATGAATAGACTGAAAGAGAAAATGAGAGAGAGATGCACAGACTGAGATAGAAATGAAAACTGATATATATATATGAATAGACTGAAAGAGAAATGAAATGAAGAAAACTGTGATAGAAAGAGAAAGAAACACAAGATGAGATAGATAAACCCAGAGATAGATTCAGACAAATATTAGAAAAAAATGAACTAAATAGATAGATAAAAAGATAGAACAGACTGAGATATATAGATCCAGAGAAAGAAAACTACAAAATGAATAGATTGAGTATTAGAGACAGAAATTAACAGACTGAGATAGATATAGAAAAAGAACTCAGAAAATAAATCCAGAAGAAAAAATGAACAGACTGAGATATAGAGAGAAAGAAATACACAAGATGAGATAGATAGATCCCAGAGTATTAGAGACAGAAATGAACAGACTGAGATAAATATAGAAAAAGAACTATACTGCCTGACATATATAGATCTCAGTGTATTAGAGATAAAAATGAACAGACTGAGATATATAGAGAGAAAGAAATATACAGGATGAGATAGATAGATCCCAGAGTATTAGAGACAGAAATTAACAGACTGAGATAGATATAGAAAAAGAACTATACTGCCTGACATATATAGATCCCAGTTTGTTAGAGATAAAAATGAACAGACTGAGATATATAGAGAGAAAAGAAATATACAGGATGAGATAGATAGATCCCAGAGTATTAGAGAGACAGAAATGAACAGACTGAGATAGATATAGAAAAGAACTATACTGCCTGACATATATAGATCTCAGTGTATTAGAGATAAAAATGAACAGACTGAGATATATAGAGAGAATGAAATATACAGGATGAGATAGATAGATCCCAGAGTATTAGAGACAGAAATGAACAGACTGAGATAGATATAGAAAAGAACTATACTGCCTGACATATATAGATCTCAGTGTATTAGAGATAAAAATGAACAGACTGAGATATATAGAGAGAAAAGAAATATACAGGATGAGATAGATAGATCCCAGAGTATTAGAGACAGAAATTAACAGACTGAGATAGATATAGAAAAAAGAACTATACTGCCTGACATATATAGATCTCAGTTTGTTAGAGATAAAAAATGAACAGACTGAGATATATAGAGAGAAAGAAATATACAGGATGAGATAGATAGATCCCAGAGTATTAGAGACAGAAATTAACAGACTGAGATAAATATAGAAAAAGAACTATACTGCCTGACATATATAGATCTCAGTGTATTAGAGATAAAAATGAACAGACTGAGATATATAGAGAGAAAGAAATATACAGGATGAGATAGATAGATCCCAGAGTATTAGAGACAGAAATTAACAGACTGAGATAGATATAGAAAAGAACTATACTGCCTGACATATATAGATCTCAGTGTATTAGAGATAAAAATGAACAGACTGAGATATATAGAGAGAAAGAAATATACAGGATGAGATAGATAGATCCCAGAGTATTAGAGACAGAAATTAACAGACTGAGATAGATATAGAAAAAGAACTATACTGCCTGACATATATAGATCCCAGTTTGTTAGAGATAAAAATGAACAGACTGAGATATATAGAGAGAATGAAATATACAGGATGAGATAGATAGATCCCAGAGTATTAGAGACAGAAATGAACAGACTGAGATAGATAAAGAAAAAGAACTATACTGCCTGACATATATAGATCTCAGTGTATTAGAGATAAAAATGAACAGACTGAGATATATAGAGAGAATGAAATATACAGGATGAGATAGATAGATCCCAGAGTATTAGAGACAGAAATGAACAGACTGAGATAGATATAGAAAAAGAACTATACTGCCTGACATATATAGATCTCAGTGTATTAGAGATAAAAATGAACAGACTGAGATATATAGAGAGAAAGAAATATACAGGATGAGATAGATAGATCCCAGAGTATTAGAGACAGAAATTAACAGACTGAGATAGATATAGAAAAAGAACTATACTGCCTGACATATATAGATCTCAGTGTATTAGAGATAAAAATGAACAGACTGAGATATATAGAGAGAATGAAATATACAGGATGAGATAGATAGATCCCAGAGTATTAGAGACAGAAATTAACAGACTGAGATAGATATAGAAAAAGAACTATACTGCCTGACATATATAGATCTCAGTGTATTAGAGATAAAAATGAACAGACTGAGATATATAGAGAAAAGAAATATACAGGATGAGATCGATAGATCCCAGAGTATTAGAGACAGAAATGAACAGACTGAGATAGATATAGAAAAGAACTATACTGCCTGACATATATAGATCTCAGTGTATTAGAGATAAAAATGAACAGACTGAGATATATAGAGAGAAAGAAATATACAGGATGAGATAGATAGATCCCAGAGTATTAGAGACAGAAATGAACAGACTGAGATAGATATAGAAAAAGAACTATACTGCCTGACATATATAGATCCCAGTTTGTTAGAGATAAAAATGAACAGACTGAGATATATAGAGAGAAAGAAATATACAGGATGAGATAGATAGATCCCAGAGTATTAGAGACAGAAATGAACAGACTGAGATAGATATAGAAAAAGAACTATACTGCCTGACATATATAGATCTCAGTGTATTAGAGATAAAAATGAACAGACTGAGATATATAGAGAGAATGAAATATACAGGATGAGATAGATAGATCCCAGAGTATTAGAGACAGAAATTAACAGACTGAGATAGATATAGAAAAAGAACTATACTGCCTGACATATATAGATCTCAGTGTATTAGAGATAAAAATGAACAGACTGAGATATATAGAGAGAAAGAAATATACAGGATGAGATAGATAGATCCCAGAGTATTAGAGACAGAAATTAACAGACTGAGATAGATATAGAAAAGAACTATACTGCCTGACATATATAGATCTCAGTGTATTAGAGATAAAAATGAACAGACTGAGATATATAGAGAGAATGAAATATACAGGATGAGATAGAACAGATCCCAGAGTATTAGAGACAAAAAATGAAATTAACAGACTGAGATAGATATCCCAGAAAAGAACTATAACTGCCTGAGATATATATAGATCTCCAGTGTATTAGAGATAAAAATGAACAGACTGAGATATATAGAGAGAATGAAATATACAGGATGAGATAGATAGATCCCAGAGTATTAGAGACAGAAATGAATAGACTGAGATAGATAGAGAAAAAGAACTATACTGCCTGACATATATAGATCTCAGTGTATTAGAGATAAAAATGAACAGACTGAGATATATAGAGAGAAAGAAATATACAGGATGAGATAGATAGATCCCAGAGTATTAGAGACAGAAATGAATAGACTGAGAAAGAAATGAACAAACTGAGACAGATATGGAGAAAGAAATATACTAGCTGAGATAGATAGATCTCAGTGTATTCGATTGTCCTGAAGCTATTGAAATAATCCCCTAGATCAATATTACCTGATTGAGAAAGATCAATATGATCAGTCAGCAGCAAATGATATGCAACTGCTTGACATGCATCTATGTAAACAGGAAGAAAAATCACAAGTAGCCGTGACAGAGTGAAAAAAAAAACAGAAAAAGTATGGTCTTAGAAGGGAAGAAAAAATGTGATAGGAACAGAAGAATGTAACAGATAAAGAAAGAAATGAAAGGGAAAAATGAAAGGAGAGAAAAGAGAGAAGAGAAAAATAAGGGAAATTCTGTTCAGGAGAGAAAGGAAGGGAAACAAAAGAAATAAAACAGATGATGAAAGGACAGAAATGAAAGATGACAAAAAAAAAATAGAGCTGGTAAAAAGAAAAGGAGAGATATGAGATAATAAAAGAAAAAGGGAGAGATGATGAAAAGAGAAAATAAAGAATAAAGTATGCGAGAAAGCAGAGAAGAGAGGGAGAAAGATGTGAAGAGAACAGATGAAAAGGAGAAAAAAAATGAAAAGAGAGAAAGTAAATAAAACAAAATGTGACAAAAGAGAAAGGTGAGGAGAAAAGATGAAAATCTTCATCTTTTATCCACCCCACCAACTCTTTTGTATTCTTTTTTTTTCTTGGTGGTAGAAAACACGAAAGAGAGAAAGGAGGAATGATGAAAAGAGAAAAATGAGAGTAGAAGAGAGAAAATAGACAAGAGGAAAGAAGAAAGTTAGGATAGATGAGAAGGAGAAAAGAGAGAAGACAAAAGGTGAAAAGGATAAAAGATAGAAAGTAGAAATGACAAAATGAGACAAAGAGAGAAATGATGAAAGTATAGAAAGTAGAAAAAGACAAAAGAAGGAAGAAAGAAAGAGGGAAAGGAGAACAATGTAAGAAGACAAGAGAAAGTAGAGAAAAAGAAAGAAAAAAGAGATGAGTAGATGAAAGGATAGAAGATGAAAATGAAAGGGGAGAAAGGAGAAACTTGAGAGAAGACAAAAGGTGAAAAGAGGAAAGTATACAAAGTAGAAAAAGATAAAAGAGGGAAGACAGAAAGAGAGAAAGAAGAAAAATGAAAAAAGACAAGAGGAAGTAAAGAAGAAAAGGTCAAATGAAAGAAAAGGTCAAATGAAAGAAAAGAAAGAAGACAAAAATAAAGAAAAGATAAATCAAATAGAAAGAAAAAAGAAAACAAGAAATTTTGCCAATGCAAGCAAAGCTGATAAAGCAATGACTGATTGACAGAACCTTGATTTCTTTTGCATCTTTGATTGATTGTTCGCTGAAAAAGACACGCTTTTGTTTTGGAGTAGAAAAGTTAATCGAAGTGCTGAGCTAACTCCTGCTTCGATGGAGGTGTTTTTCTAAATCAACCTTCTTCTTCATTGGCTTTGTTTATGTCTGCAGGCTTGTTAGTATTTCTTAAACATTAAAGGAGAGGAACTGTCATTGATATTAGCAGGTGAGGTGGTATACTGAGCCCAGCAGCTGTCAAAAGTCCCCACAGGGTCTCTCTACTCTGTGGTACAGAATTCCTCCAGTGTTCTCTGTGGGGGTATGGCACTTGGAAAAAAGTATATTGATAGCACCTAAAAAAACAGGAGGAGGAAAAAGAATAGTTGGAGAAGTAGACAAAGAAATAGAAAAGAACACTAGCAAGGAGTAGAAAGAAGAAAAAATGAAAGGAGGAGGAGAGTGATTATAAGACGATGAGTATTTAAGATCTAGAGATGAGTGAAAAATTATGATGGGTAGACAGGAAAAGAAATAGCACAGAATGAAAGGATGATAATTACACTCACATTTATTTTCTTCTTTTTTTATTAGTCCTTATTTTTCTTCTTTGCGGTCTACTTCATTTTTCTTTGCTTTCCCCATTTTCCTTCTATGCCTTCTTCATTTTTCTGCTTTGCATTTTTTTCCATTTTTCTTCCTTGCCTTCTTCTTTTTTTCTTCTTTGCCTTTTTTATTTTCTATTTTTCACCATCTTCTTTTTTTCTTCTTTGCCTTCTTCTTTATTTTTTCTTTTTTTGCCTTCTCTTTTTTTCTTCTTTGCCTTCTTCATTTTTCTGCTCTGCCTTCTTCTTTATTTTTCTTTTTTGCCTTCTCTTTTTTCTTCTTTGCCTTCTTCATTTCCTTCTTTTCCATTTTATTTTATCTCCCATTTCTTCTCCTCCTCCTCCTCCTCCTCCTCATCTTCTTCTTCTTCTTCTTCATTCCATGTCTTACATTTTTTAAATTGTTATTTCTCTTTTTTCCTCTTCTTCCTTTTTTTCTTTTATGACCTCCTCTTTTTATTTTCCTGTTTCTTCTTCCTTACATCTTCTTTCACTTCAAAATTCTTTCTTTCTTCGACTTAACCTTCTTATCTATCTTTTCTCCTTTTTAATCTTTCTTCTCTTTCTCTTCTTTACTAACGTACCCCTTCTCCCATTCTTCTTAACACCCTCCTCCTTTTTTTTTATTTTTTTATATTTTTTCATTTCTCTTCTTTACATCTTGCTTCTCCTTCACCTTCTTTTCTTTCTCATACCTTTATTTTTCTTTCATTCATCTTTTCTTCCTATTTCCTCTTCTTTGTTTTCTTTCAATTTTTCCTTTCCCTCTTTCATCATCATTTCCCTTTCCTTGACCTACTCCTTCAAGTTTGACTTTTCCTTCTTTCTTCTAATTCAATCATTCGTGGTTTTAATAATCCAAGCATGAAGATAAAGTCAGACAACATTTGCATATTAATGCATTAATATATAAAAATAACCAAGACCCATCAAGACCTCAGAAACTTATGAAATTTGTAAAGTAATTGAGTGAAATTGATTCCTTCCTCTATCCATAAATAAATAAAATCCATGCCAACTGGTAAGCTCACACGTATTGCCTTTATTTTTATTTACTATGTGCGTATGCATGCAGATACTTAACATATGCATAGGTATGTAGATACATACACACATTACATAAGATAGAGGTAAGAAACTTGTACATTTTAGTGCCTAGTTTAGTGTTGAACAAATTTGTTGTCTCAGAGTATAATCATAAGATTTACCCTGAGGGGTAACGTATAATTGTGCTAACATAGGAGCCTTCATCATA